AGTTATATGTATATGTATAGGCATGTATTCTAACTATATATAGGAAAATGAAAGCTTATTTCTGCAATCCCTACCCTGAGTGTTTTTTTTTTTTTTTTTTTTTTTTGCTTATTGTTTGCATTATTTGCATTATTAAAATTTCATTATTTTTTTTTCGTAATTAATTAACTATTATTTTATTTCTATATGAAGTGAAAGGGACAGTGTGGTCTCTCCCATTGGATGTATAGTTCACCTTTTATGCAGGCACTGTGGTGACTGGTCATATAATTATTGTCACTCCTGTCTCTCTAATCTAACATAGTTTTTATATGCCCACATTGAAATGTGGTTTTATATTGTCGTCAGTCCGGCGTCCACAAGCAATCTAGAGGCTAAAGTTAATATCTGATTGACTTAAATTTGAGACGGAGAAGCCTAGTGATTTTCAACGGTTTCCGATAATTACTGCTCTTTTTCGGTGACATACATTTTATCAATATAATTTTTGATTGTGGTATGGCATGGTACTCGATATCGAGGGTTTATCTTATTCATCATGTCAATAAAGCCTTGTCTGTTTACAATGCTAAGAGGGTGCATATCTCTTGCACAAAATTCGGCAACTTTACTGGTCAAAGTTTGCAATTCAGTGGAGTACATGTATATTGGGATTGGACTTCCGATCATACATGAAGAAATCTGGCATTGATGGGTTCCCATAACGTCGCCATTATGATTATTATTATCTGCGTTGACGTCGATTGACATTGATGTCGCGCCTTTGGATAAACAAACCCCTGATTTCGCAAACTTGACTTTGAACCCTTATATACAAGTTTCACATGACACCGTGTACACTGAGCCTTGTTGTCTGCTACCTTAGCAAAGAAATGCTATACTGTGGAACCTGTGTTGTCGACTTGAGCGATTGTTCAAAATTTTGCCTGCGTACGTGATCAGTTGCATTGGGGAAAATTTCAAAGTAATCAAATGTAAAAATGACTTTATTATATAGAATATAATGGAATTTCAGAAGATTGTAACGGATAGTAAAATGATTCAGATATCCGTTATTTTGTATCCGTTAACGGATATCCGAATAGTAGTTTCAACACCATAACAAAGTGTAAGTTGATATCTCCAATAATAAGCAGACTTGTGTTAAGGAGAATGAGATCGGAAATCATAGTCTCGAAGTCTTTCAGAAAATCCTGATTACAAGATTTCTTTTTCTTTGATGGGGGAGATGATATATAAAATATCACAAGTCGAAGTCTTTTGTTGAGAAGTAATTGTACAAATTCAAAGGAATGAAAGCTAGTGTTGACCTGTTCTCTTATGCATTCGAATTTATGCCTGTAGAGAAGACCAGCGCTTCCACCTCTGTCTATAATAAAATCAAAATCATCACCACATAATTCACTGATGATAACAGTGTCATTTTCAGAGAGCCAAATTTCGGTTATTGCCAGCAAGTCGAGTAATTTTTCATTGATATATTCATTTATGGCAATCATTTTGTTGCACACAGATTGGGCGTTGATGAGCCCCAATTTAATTCCATTGTTGATATCGGGGTCATGCCTGGTAGCAATAGATACTAAATTAGATTTACAAACACCCCTTTGCCTTGATTCACATTCAGATTGTTGTATGTTACATGAACATTGACACACTGATCCGCAGTGAATATTCGCTTGGCCACTACAATCACTGATAAAGATGACATCGATGCGACTTAATGACTACAAAATATTAACTTTTTTCTTTCGACAAATTTTAATTCTGAAACATTTTTTTTAGTATTAGAAAAATAAATAAAGGTGTTTGAAGTATATCTTGATAAAAAATATTCCATATTTAGCGTAAATAGGTACAGAAAATAGTACGCGGAGGCGTAAAATGGGTAAAATGATATAATTTTGCCCGTACCAGTTCATATTACTACGTTCAATGTAAACAACGCACGTGTGACCATCAATTTGACGTTTTTTTCTGTTTGTCTACTCTGAATTCTTTCAGAAGTACATTTTTTACCCTCTAATCTGATTGACCTGCTCGTAATTGTTTTAAAACAACAAAAACAAGCCACAGAAGTAATCTTTTTTGGCGTTATCGATGCCATCTTGCTTTGTTGGTAAACATTGTGATGTGACGTCACCCTTAGAACTACAGCGGTCTGACCTTTTAAAGGTCAGTCATCTTGGACAGAGATAAAAGACGGATGTCGCATTAGGTCTGTAAAACAGATTGGAACATTGATAGGCTTTTGTTTTCTTGATCCAGCTCTTTTTCCTTGATATGATTTCAGAAGATGTAAAGATTTTAAAACTATTGTAATACTAGGATTTAGTTTAACAGAGTTGTTTCTGAAAGATTGCAGGTCACCTACTGAATACTTAATCATAAGGTTTAATGATCTACTGTTTGAAGTTAATAGATTTAATAAAATGATCCACTTGTTGAGATTAACACCTTGATTTAAAGATACAAGTAGTTAAGAGTTTAATAAAGAGTTTGTCATTCTTGCTATAATAATTCAAAAATAGGTGATGAAAAAAGAAAATATTGAAAATTTCATTCAAATTACTTCATTCTCAGCCAAGTTATCATTGTTTGTAGTTTTGACAGATGCGTGCACAGTGGTAACCAGGGTACTAGTATAATCGGGACTTAGCCTCGCTTTCCCATTTTTAAATTAAGTTTTTAAATGGCGAACCGTTTTAATGTAGTTAAAATCTCGAGTATCCGATGCCATCGAGAGTCGATTATGGTCTTGTTTTGTTAATAAATGTCTAATTAATAGTTTAGATAACATTTCAGGCCTAAAGAAAGACCTGCAATAGGCAGATTTAGCTCTTGCATAGTGTATGTTTAATTAATTTGCAGATTTCCTTTCAGTCGTAAGTGGTTTGAAATTTTCTGAGGGAAAACAATGAGGGTTTTGATGTAGATCAATGACACTAAGTGGAAGAGAACAATAGAGATTAACAGCACAGAAATTTAGCACAGTTCATTACATATGTATATCATATTATTTTTCCATTTTAACTAATAATTCAGCAATAATTCCGGAAATCCAAAAACTTTTTTTTTAAAATTCTTTCACTAAATTATTCCTTGCTGTTGGTTGCCGCTACATAAATTATCACAGACTTAAACTTACAAGAGACAGAAAATTATCAAAATTGTTCATGGCCATGAGACAAACAACCGAAACAAATTCTAACAATTTCTGATAATCACTTAATTACTTTAAATAAGATTTTCATGTGTTGTAAATGTTCTCCTCGGTTAATCACAAAAGACAAAATATGCGACAACCCTTGTTGACTGCCCGGACGACTTAGCTGTTGTGGGCGTATGTTTCATTGTCTGGCAACCTATCTGTTGATATGGTGATAACTGATGTACTTTATCCGGCATACAGGGGGATCACATGGCTAAGTGGGTAAGACGCTACCTCGCTAGCCTGGAGGTCGGGTGTTCGATCCCTGCATTGGCCGAGAAAGTTCATCCAGATTTTCCGGCACGGTTCTCCCTTGTCAGTGATGCAAGACGGAGGGGCTGACAAGGAAAGCTGTCTAGTCGTTCGGATGGGACGAAAAACCGAGGTCCCGTGTACACATTGGCGTGCACGTAAAAGATCCCTTGGCAGTTGGAATTCGATATAAGAGTAGGCCGTAGTGCCGCTGCCCGGGCAAAATTTCCCTCATAGCACACTGTATGGCGTATGCCCGTCTTCATAAGCCCAGGTTAGGAGCAGAACAGTAGGACGTTAAACCCCATTTCATTTCATTTCATTTATCCGACATACAAGTAACTTTGTTCTCCAAAATAAACTAATCTTTGATACTTTGTATTTTATGTGACTTTCTTCGAGATATTTATTTGTCACATATGGGGGGGTGGGGGCGCGAATGGTTAGCACATGCACGCTGAATCATAAGGTCTGTCATTAAGTCAACATGCGTGGTTTCGATTCGTTGGTTGTACGTGACAAGGAGTAGGGTCACCTGTCCAACCTCGTGGGTTTTCTCCGGGTCTTCCGGTTTCCTCCCACTGCTAAAGACCCCTACGTGTAAGCGAATTATTGAAATAAAATTAAACCATGTGTTAGTCCCGAAGTGACATAGTTTGTGTTTAGTGGACGTTATACCCCATTTCTCTCTCTCTCTCTCTCTCTCTTGTCACTTATGAAACAATGTCCTAAAAATTCTCTGATTAGTTTCCATGGCAATAACCTTAGTTGACAACATGTTGCCAATTATTGATAATTGTGTTTGTCAACACCATTTTTTGATGTTACAGATACCATGATACTTATATTTGATCTGTACTTATGGCTGAAATTATTAAATTAAAAAAGCAAGACTTAAAAAAAGATGACCCAACTAGAGAACATTTAATCATTTGAACTAGTTCTACAACTACAAATTCAGTAATCTTATAATGTTTACTTTCTTATTGAGAGAATATACACTGTAAACCAGGTATCATTTAATCTTGTGTATCTAGCACTAATTTCTTTCACATTCGTTTAATATCAAATCTTTGTTTAAAAATTCACAAAAACTGTTTAAAATCACCATAAATCGTTTAATTTCTACTTCTGTCCAGTTAAAAGCTGACCATTCAATTTTGATAATGAGTCAGTGTTTAATTTCTCAATCACTGTTAAAAAAAGAACCCAATTGATTAATGATGTATAATGATTAATTTTTGAACAGTGATTGAGAAATTAAATACTAGTAAATTGGACACTCATTATCAAAATTAATCGGTCAGCTTTAAACTGCACACAAGTACAAATTAGATGATTTTTGGTGATTTTAAACGATTTTTATGAACTTTTAAGCAAAGATTTGATATTATACGAATGTGAAAGAAATTAGTGCTAGATACACAACATTAAATGATATCTGGGTTACAGTGATAAGAGATTATCTAATTGATTTGTACACAGTATAGATTAATAATAATACTAATGTTATATTAATTATTATACTATTTTCTAGGACTATACATGGGCTCATCTATAATGCATTGAAATTATTTATGGAAATGAATCAGAAGTTATTTGATGATTGTACACAACAGTATAAAGTAGAAAGACAAAAGTAAGAACATCAGTGACTCAGTAAGGCACTGGCTATCTAACCAAGTGGTCCAGGGTTCGATCTTGGTGTTCGTTGAGAAAGTTACCCAGTATTTTCCAGCAGGATTCCCCCTTTTCAGTGGGTGCAGGATGGAAGGTGTGGCCAGGACAGTCTTTAGCCATTTGGATGGGATGGAAAACCGAAGTCCCATGTTCATGTTGTTGTGTACTGTGCACGTAAAAGAAGCCTTGACAGTTGGAATTCAAAATAAGAATAGGTTGTAGCGCTACTGTCTGGGAAAAATTTCCCTCATAGCCCACTGTATGTATGGTGTATGCCCGTCTTCAGTAGCCCAGTCGGTGTTCAGAAATGTAGGACATTAAACTCCCATTTCATTTCTATTGCCATCCACAGTTGAAATGTGATAATTGTATTTTTGGCTAGTTGCAGGCAGGGAATCAAGATAGTTTTCTTAGAGCCTTTTACACCAAATTATATTATGTCCCCTGGGGTATAATGTTCAAACTTGGTGTTGGTGTTTATTAGGAGACTCCATGATAAGCATTTTACTCATAAGTCTAAGGCTAATCAATTGATTTACTGAAACTTTGGAACACAATAACTTTGATTCTAATAGGGCAAGTGCGATGAAACTACATAAACACCTTGACAAAGTTCGGTCATGAGAATTTTCTGCTTAATATAAGTATAGATCAGCAGTTGGATTGCACGATGCTGAACAAAAAGATGAACGTGCAACCAGAGGTTGCAGTCGATCAATTTCGAGTTGCTGACGCTGGACAAAAAGATGAACGTGCAACCAGAGCTTGCAGTCGATCAATTTCGAGTTGCGTAAAAATACACAAGACATTAAAAAATGTTGCGTTTTTGCCCTCTACATCTGCGTGACTTGGAGCCTCTCAAAATACTCAATAGAAGCAAGTAAAATCATTATGTGAACAACCCTATTTTAAAGAGGAAATATAAAAACATACAGAGACTACATACAGTAGCGGTGTGTAAATGCTGCGTGAAGCACAGAAATTGATGTAGTGTACAAACTACGACATAGAATAATCTAATTATTCTCACATCAGGGAAATTTTCTGCATGTAAATTACACAGTAGCCGTCAATATTTGTGTTTATTTTGAAAGAAAATGCGTGAGAAACGCAGATTTTTGCGTGACTGCAACCTCTGCATGCAACTAATTAATCAGTGTCATCTATTTATGTTAGTATATAAGCCGGGGCATCAGCCTCACTGTTGGCTTGTTAAATTAGCCTCATTCTTGTTTTCTATATGAGACAACTGATGTATTTTTTCATAGTCTTAATCTTATATAAAGATATAGTGAGTTTGTATTTAATATTAGATTGCTAGTATAATAAATAATTTGTACAAATCTATTCTTATTTGTAGGGAAAAAGAAAAGAATAAGCAACGTGAAGATGCTTGGACAAAAATCCACATGTTAGCCAGGGATAGTCCATGTTTACAAAAGGTATTGTTTCCAATGCTACAGATCAATATGGTATTTACATAGTTTAAAGCTATGAACTACAGATCTAAAGCCTGTCAACTACAGTCTGACCCATACTAGAAAATATAGTGTTTTTATACCATATGAACAATTTCGTAGAAAAGGGTGGCAACATGCCATATCTATTGATTTGTTCATGGAACTTTTACTACAATTCAAGTTCTGTATATATGAAAAAACTATTAGACTCCACTCGCTTTTCACAAGTAGAAAAGGTATCTTTAGCATGAAAGAACGATACATACGATAACTTGTACCAAAACTTCGTAAAGTAATAACCTTGGTTCTTTCTATTTGAGGTAGAATGTTCAAACTTGGTGTAAATGTTCATTAGGTGACTTGAGTTTGATGGTCAGCATTTCCCCGCTTAGGCTCGAGAAGAGATAAGAAATTTGGTTGGCAGCTGCTTTGTAACACCATAATTTTAATTCTAATTGCATGAGAACGGTAAAATTTGGTGTAAAGTTTCATTAAATCATACTTTGACTTTCAATATAGAGCATTTTCTACTGAAACGAAGAAGCCTATTTAATTTCCGTTTATTACGTCTAGAGTTATGGCCCTTGTTTCACTTTGTTGAACCTTGTGAACGCTCTAATGCCAAAAGTTAACATACAATCCTTGTGAAATTATATGCAATATTTAAGTTAGTGAAATGAAGAAGCCTATTGAATTTCAGCAATTTACGTTTATTAGTATTACATCTAGCATTATGGCCCATGTTTCACTTTATTGAACCTTGTGAACGCTCTAAAGCCAAAAGTTATCACCCAATCTTTGTGAAGTTTATATGCATGATTTAAATTAGTGAAACGAAGAAGCTGTTTTGAATTTCAGCAATTTCTGTTTATTACGTCTAGAGTTATGGCCCTTGTTTCACTTTATTGAACCTTGTGAACGCTCTAACTCCAAAAGTTATCATCCGATCTTTCTGAAATTTACATGCATTATTTAAATTAGTCAAACGAAGAAGCCTATTGAATTTCAACAATTTCTGTTTATTACGTCTAGAGTTATGGCCCTTGTTTCACTTTCTTGAACCTTGTGAACGCTCTAACTCCCCAGCAAAATCTATGGGTAACAAAGAAAAAGAGGACATCTGGAAGTGTAAATATGAAACATAAAAAGTCATTTGTCCAGTCCATTGTGTATTCAGCAGGGTTCGGAATATTTACACTCTTCTTTGCCTTTACCTCTGCTATGCCAATCACTATATATTTAGCGTCCCAGACCCTTACCTGAAACTCATTAAACTAGTTCTTAAATTGATCTGCATTTGTATAGAAGACTGATAGTTTATTTATAGTCTGAACAGGACCACTTTGTACACTATTTACATTTGTTACAATTCTTACATGTGACTTGATTTTGACCTTTACCGGGGGGGTGGATGGCTGAATGGTTAGCGTGCGCGCGCTGTATCATAAAGTCTGTCATTGAGTCGACTGGCGTGGTTTCAAATCCCCGGTTGTACGTGACAAGGAGTAGGGTCGCCTGTCCAACCTCGTGGGTTTTCTCCAGGTCCTCCGGTTTCCTCCCACTGCTAAAGACCCCTACGCGCAAGCGAATTATTGAAATAAAATTAAACCATATGTTAGTCCCGAAATGACCTAGTTTGTGTCGAGTGGACGTTAAACCCCATTTCTCTCTCTCTCTTTGACCTTTACCACTTCTCTTGCCCAGGGTGGTCCTCTTACTCGGTACCTGAATTCCCCCGAACCATTCTCTTTCTTATTGAGATCTTTCACTTTTTTGTTCAAGTTTCTTTCAACCTCTCCTTCTGCGATTGTTAGATCGATGGAATGCGTACATTCATGAATCTATCCACGTCTCTCAGTTTAGATTCTCCTTTAAAGAAATCTATCTTCTTTTCGGTTTCTGAGAAGGCAACTACTAGAGGTCTGGTTTTGTTTTCAATGTTGTATTTACCGAGTCATACGGTTTTTTTTTTCACGTTCTCATCAGCTAACGTCACACCGCATGCCTCCGCCACTCCTTTTAAGTTATCTACGTCATATTTTTGTCTCACTTTTCTGTCTTCAGAGTCGCTTTCCATAATGCCATAAATGATCATGTTACATTTCCTGTTTTTTCTCTCATTGATCTCTGTCATGACTGCTTTGACATTGTGTTCACTTGCATCGTTACCTGTGATTTTGTCATTATCTTTGTGCTCAGCATCTAGAACTTTTGTCATCTCACTCACCATAACCCTCACTTTGTCTTCATTTCCTCCTCTAGGTTGTCAAATATCTTCATGTCATTGCACCTATCTTCAATTTCTTTGTCAACAACTTTTCTCTGCTTGGCATGCAGAACCACATAATGTCACTACTATTCATCAGGTTGTACTCCTCTACTGACTTGTTCAGGCACTTTATACAGAAATGATCCCTTCATCTTTGACACTCTAATAGTTTATCATCTTGATCAACGAAGATTTTTGTGCACAATTTACACTTCCAGATTTCCTCTTTTTCTTTGTTACCCATAGATTTTGCTGGGGAGTTATTTGTAGAGTCTTCCCTGGAGTTTGTGTTCGATGATGTTTTACCAGCAGGCCTACCTCTCTTTTTCTGTTTGTTTTCCGCATCATTTTCGATTCCGCCATCTTTGATTAATTTGCTTGCCAGATTGTCAACTCAAGGAATCCAGAATTGTGGTAATTACCTTGTTTATCTGTTTATTTTTTAGATGATGGGTGCAGACATTTTCATTTTCTGTAATAAGTTGTAAATAGCGGGTAACAAGCTCAAGGGCTTTTGTTGAAACTGTTTTTCCCTTGGACATAAGACTCTTTTATGGAAATTATACTGATTGTAGTATGTAATATTTTTTGGGTTCCAATACAGAATCTGCTGAACCTTTTATTTTTTCTTTAGTATCAACAATTTCAGTCAGCATTAGGCCCTCCGACAAATAACTCAGGCAAACCTTCTACTACCAATAATGTAAATGCTAACACCGAGGATGAAGGAGATGTAGTTATGAATATGGAAAAATTAGAATCAGAAGCAAAAGAAGTAAGTTTGTGCAACAATTTATATTTTTATATGTATACTAACAATAGGAGGGCATATTATTACATATATATCATATCTATTGTTTACTCAATGTTTGTGTAGTGTTTGTATGTCAGTGTTGTTGATGACAGTCTGTTGGGCAAATAATTGTACTTTATCTTCATGGTTACAAAATAATGTAAGCATTCACTTATACAAAACTAAACATAGTGGCTGTCATCAAAGGAAACAATGTTACAAAAATATGCATTTAGAAAAGGATTTTACCAGCCCTGATGGTTTATTTGTGATGGACTGCCAGTAAAAAAAAAAAAAAAAGGAACAGATGAAACTTTAACAATCTATATAATTTACTGCAGACCAATGATTAATCATCAATGATGGACAATCGCTGATAAATAATCCTTGCTGTGCACAGGCCTTTATTAATTTTTGTTCAAAATATCAACAACCCTTGTGGGAAAAAAAATCAACATGATATTCTGTTAGCCCCTTAAATAACTTCTTTTATAAAGCCATTGTATTCTCTCACAAACATTTTGCTATTCACAATATTTGTTATGAATTTTGAGTTATTTTTCATGAAATTTGAGTCAAACATTCTATCCAGCAAAAATATTATTTTACTATATTTTTACCAGATTAAATTACACTCAATGAAAGTAAAAACTAAAAGTGACTTAAAGGTATAAAAACTTGATTAATTGCACTGCCTGAGGTTATGCCTCTCTCCATTTAAAAGCCTTTCTTGCTTTTTTTTTTGTTGAAAATACTTGAACATAAATATGAGCTTTTTCTTTATAATTGAACATTTCATTGTCACATGCCTTTCTTTACTTTTTATACGCCCACATTGAAATGTGGTCGTATATTGTCGTTGCCTTCCTCCGTCCGTCCGGCGGTCCATTGTGGATTCTCTAGAGGCTAAAGTTAATATCTGATTGACTTTAAAATTTATACACATTGTTTATTAAGGTCATGAGACAAAAAAGCCTATTGTTTTTCAGTGATTTCCGATAATTACTGCCAGAGTTATGGCCCTTGATCACTTCAAATAATCTTGTGGAGGCTCTTAGAGGCCAAAGTTAATATCCGATTGAAGAAACCTATTGAATTTCAGCCATTTCCGATAATTACTGCTAGAGTTATGGCCCGTTATCAGTGTTTTAGGTCATGAGATGAAGAAGTCTATTCATTTTCAGCGATTTTCGATAATTACTACCAGAGTTATGACCCTTGATCACTTCAAAAAATCTTGTAAATGCTCTAGAGGCTAAAGTTAATATACGATTGACTTCAAATTTATACACAGTGTTTAAGGTCATGAGACGAAGAATCATATTGATTTTCAACGATTTCCGATAATTACTGCCAAAGTTATGGCCCTTGATCACTTTGAAAAATCTTGTGACGCTCTAGAGGCTAAAGTTATCATCTGATTGACTTCAGATTGATGCACAGAGTTTAAGGTCTTGAGACGAACAAGTATATTGATTTTCAATGAATTTTTATGATTTGAACAGCTAAATCCATGACGTTAAAAGTTTTGTATGCTAAACGTTAGCATGGGGCAGAACTTTATAAAAACCAAACAAATTCTAAGGGTTTTCTGATAATTACTTAATGAGTTGTTACTCTTCATCAGATTTTAATGTATTATAAATGTTTCATTATCGAAAAAAGTAAAAATATGCGACAACTCTTGTTGACTGGCCAGACGATGTAGCTGATGTGGTCGTATGTTTCATTGCCTGGCAAACTATCTTTGTTTTCTACGAATAGACTTTAGAATTGATGCAGGGTCTGTCTTTGGTTTGTGGATGACATTTCCCAAGTCTGCTTGAGCTTGGAAACTACACGTCAAACGGTCTTTATGTTATAAAAAAAATTGTATTTATATTTACTCCACATCCAACATAAATCAAAGTTCTTATGTTGAGACACCATTTTTTCCTTTATCTTGATTAAAAAGGAAAATGAATGTAAATACAATTTTTATACGCCCACATTTTCATGTAGACAAATATTGTCGTCGTCCCTGCCCGTCAGGATGTCTGTCCGTCCACAATTTGTTTGAGGACACTCTTCAGGTCACAGTTTTTATCCAATTTTGACGAAACTTGAAATATAGGTCTATCTCCCAAAGATCTTGATTCCTTTCGATACTGGCATGTATCGGAGCATAACTTCATGGATTATGGCCCCTGATTGTACGAAAAATCACGTTTTTAGCAGGTGGACACTTTAGAGGTCACAATTTTGATCCAATTTTGATGAAACTTGAAATGCATATTTATAGCCCAAATATTTTATTTACTTTCGATATTCGTGCATTTCGGATCGTAACTTCCGGAATTATGGCCCCGGATTGTACGAAACATCACGTTTTTAGCTTGTGGTCTCTCTAGAGGTCACAATTTTTATCCGATTTAAAAAAAAAACGTATTATTATATCACCGTTACACCCAAGGATGGCTGAGTTCGAATTTCGTGAAAATCGGCCCAAAACTGACAAACAAAATGGACGCCCTCGTTCTCAAATAGCGTAAAAATATGGTTCATCAAGGTTGTGGACCCTATAGAAGTCACAATTTTTATCTGATTTTGTTGAAACTTGAAATGTAAGTTTATAACCCAAAGATCTTGGTTCCTTTAGATATTCGCGCATTTCGGACCGTAACTTACAGAATTATGGCCCCTGATTGTACGAAAAATCGCATTTTTAGCTTGTTCTCTATCCATCTCTCAAAATTGTGGGCGTATCCTGCCTGGCAGCCGCTGGTTCTTGTTTTAAAAAAAAACGTGTGAATATATCAGTTATACACTAATGACGGTGGAGTTCGAATTTCTTGCAAATCAGACAAAAATTGTACACAAATAGTGTAAAAATATGGTATATCAAGATTGTGGACCCTCTAGAGGCCACAGTTTAAATATATGTTTTTATGTCATAGAGATCTTGGTTCCTTTTGATAATCACACATATCCGAAGGTAACTTCCTGGATTATGGCCCCTGATTGGTTGAAAAATCACATTTTTAGCTTGTGGATTCTCTGAAGGTCACAATTTTTTTGCTGATTTTAAAAACCGTTTAGATATATCACCATTCCACCATAATGAAGATTGAATTGGAATTTCTCGAAAATTGAAATGAAACTGCCCGACAAAATGGCCGCTCTTTGTACGCAAATTGTGTATAATAGGTACGCAATACAAAGGTTATGGACCTTCTAGAGGTCACAATTTTATCCAACTTAAAACATATCTTTATATTCCAAAAATCTCACTCCCTTTTGATATTTGCACATTTCAGACCATTACTTTCTGGATTATGGCTCTTTTTGTTTTCAGCTTGTTCTCTATCCATCTCTTGCAAAATGTGGGCATATCCTGCCTGGCAGCAGCTGGTTTATGAATCAATATCGACTGGTTTGGTGTCCCTGCCTTTCGAAGAAAGCAGGAGACTATTAAAATGGGGTGTCCGTCTGTCTGTTGATCACACTTTTTTGGGACACAATAACTCTCCTAATTGAGCTAGAATGTTCAAACTTGGTGTAGGTGTTTATTAGATCAATTCCTTGATGGAGTTTGAAATTGAAGATGAGCTTTTTCTGCTTAGGGTATTTGATTGATTGATGCTTTGGGACACGATAACTTTAGTTCTAATTAAGTGAGAGTGATGAAACTTGGTGTATAGTTCATCACATCAATACCTTGACTAAGTTCGACAATGAACATTTTCTGCTGATGGTAAGCAGAGCTATAAACAGTTTGATTGGTCGAGACCTTGGAACATAATAACTCTCCTTCCAATCAAGGTAGGATGTTCAAACTTTGTGTAGGCGTTCATTAGGTGAATGCATTGATAGAGTTCGATGATGGACATGTCTGCTTACGGTAAGCAATTTCGTTGAAGCTTTTGGGCAGAATAACTTTGGTTATAATTAAGTGAGAGCGATGAAACTCTTTAGTATAGATTCATTATATCATTACCTTGACTAAGTGCGATGCTGAGAATTGTCTGCTTAGGCTAAGGAGCAATAAGCAATTTGATTGGTCGAGACTTTGGAACATAACAACTCTGCTTTTAATTGAGATAGAATGTTTAAACTTGATTTAGATGTTCATTAGGTGAATATCTTGACTGAGTTCAATGATTAACATTTCCCGCTAAAGCTAAGCAGAGCTAAGCAATTTCTTTGACTTTGATTCTATCTGATAGAAGAGAGTGATGAAACTTAGTGTATAGTTCATTATGACTGTCATCTACTCATTTCGAGATTTCGGCAGGGGACATCAGCCTCACTGTTGGCTTGTTTTTTCTCGATTACAGGCGGAATTGGGATTTGTAATCCATGATGTTATGGCAGTTAAAATTAGCCAATTTATTTGAATTTACATAATTATAATCTATATCTTTGACTTTATGTGGAGAAGTATTTTAACATAGTGATTGCTTACCATAACATACCAAACTCATTTAGCCCATTTACATTTAAACCTTTAATAGCCCTCTGCTTTCAATTATCATTAATTAATTCAATATTTCTTATTTGGCTGGAGAGAGATGCATACCACTACATTGTGCATTTAATGTTGATCATATTTCCTTTCTCTTGCAATTGAAATCCATGTATATTATATAATTTGTTCTAGTGTTTTGTCAACGGCAAGCCGCCAGGTAGAAATATATAAACTTCTATATTTAATCATTTTATATTGGTGCTTGAAATTGAGGATTGTCTTGAATGCTTGTTTTGTTTGTGTGCGGTTATATTTTATTTCATGTTTAAATATTTTGTGGTGGGGTATCATTTAGATTTGCTACCAATGGAGTCATTTCTTTTTTTTTTAACTGCATGGAAACACCTATTAGCAAATTGCCGCAGAAAAAATTACCGGGTATCTTGATTAAAGTCTGTGCTTGTTGAAGTGTGTGAAAAATTTAACAGAAAATAAAGCCTTTTCAAGTACATGTAGTAGTCAAGCTACTAATAGATGATGCTTGAGCTTACATTTGGTGTTAGGAAATGCAGTCAATGCAGAGTTGTTGCCTTAGGGCTGTTCTAGTTTTGATGCTAAACTTGACATGTGACGTTTTATCATTTGATTGTTTGTAGAATAATTTGAATCTATTTTGATTCTTTTGTTATGTTTGTTATTTATATTATCTTAATGAAAAGCATTACATTGACTTTCTTTCAGGCAGGCACAGCAGAATTCTTAAAGGTTCGAACCCCCCTATTGTTTTTTTTTTACTTTCAGTTTGTGTAGATTTTCAAACCTTTTATTCTATTTTTTATAACATTTGTGTGTTTCATAATATGTTTTGACAAATATTTTCCCTGTTTATTTTCTACTCAAATGATCAGTGTTTTGCAAGTTAATCAATCTAATTAAAATATAGATCTATATTTCGTTTCGTTTTTTATACTTTCAATGGCCTATACTACATGTAGATCTAACAAGTTATAGCGGGAGTTCACGTTCTTTGACGTCAGGTACCAAGCAAGCGACATTTGACCCGATTACGTCGGTCATTCGATTAACCAATTAGCGACCGCCAGGTTGTTTTTTTTTATCTACTTTTGCTTTGTTTTGATTTCTATTGCCGCTAATGTCTACCCACAGTTCCGCGCAAAACAGGTCAAACGCTCGTTTCACCAGACCATTTGATTGGCTGACCCCTCATTTCAAGCAGAACACGAGTTAAATAACAACACTTCCAGATACAAGTGTTAAGACAAGTAAAATCGAAATTTTGAACTATAAAAACGAAACGAAATTGGATCTGTGTTTTAATCAGATTGTCATTTGCTATTTGGGCATTATTGTTATTTGTTGTTTTTTTTAAGTCTCCTTTTTCATTTGAAACTTGTTTTACCCCTTCAACTTTGTATTTAGCTGTTGTATATATTTTTGTGTACTTTTGGCGATTGCTACAAAATTACTCTTAAACTTTTCAAATAGACTTTATTAACAATTTTTGTGAATGATATTTCAACTTATACTCGAGTGATTAACAGTTTGTATTATTAATAATTACTAACAATGGCATATTCAGAGTGTGTAATAACAACTATAAAAAATCCATACACGCACTGAAACTTGGTTTGAATGGAAGTGCATGACAGATTTTCACTACTGTATTATCCAATACAGTTTCTTTGATTTCATATACTCATTTAACTAGTCATTGATATTAATGCATTCTTACTGCTATCAAAAAAAAGCTCACATTGAGATGTGGTAGTATATTGCTGTCGCTCTCGTCCGTTGAGTCTAAATTTATTATCTGATTGACTTGAAATTTATAAACAGTGTATATATTCATGAAGATGAAGAAGTAGTTTGATTTTCAACGATTTCCGATAATTACTGTCAGAGTAATAACCCTTTATCAATTTGAAAAATCTTGTTGAGGCTTTAGAGGCTGAAGTTATCAACAGATTGACTAGAAATTGATACACATTATTTATGTTCATGAGACGGAGAAAGAAGCATATCTTTATCGATTTCCGATTGAACAGCTAAAGTTTACTGGTACATGTTTTTTATACGCCCACATTTCCGTGTGGACGTATATTATCGTCGCCCCAGTCAAGACGTCCGGTGTCCTCTAATTACTACCAGAGTTATGGCCCTTGATCACTTTGAAAAATCTTGTGGACGCTCTAGAAGCTAAAGTTAATATCCGATTGACTTTAAATTTATACACAATGTTTAAGGTCATGAGACAAAGATGTCTATTGAATTTCAACAATTTCCAATAAGTACTGCTAGAGTTATGGCCCTTGATCACTTTGAAATATCTTGTGAACACTCTAGAGCAGGGTTCAATTTAGTCTAAAACCAACGAGTAGCAAATTTTTGTGACAGATTCACATTTTGGCTAATCAATTCAAAATTTGAATAGCATTTGCTCAGATTTGAGGAGCAGTAAACCGTACATCACAAAAATTTGCAATTCTGATAAATAAACAATATTATAATCTTTAGTCTTGTTTTTATACGCCCACATTGAAATGTGGTCGTATATTGTAGTCGCCCCCGTCCATCCGGCGGTCCAGTGCCCACAATTGCTTGTGGACGCTCTAGCGGCTAAAGTTAAAATCCGATTGACTTTAAATTTATACACAGTGTTTTCCGATAATTACTGCCAGAGTTATGGCCCTTGATCACTTAACCCTTGTCGGTTCATGTGGGGTCTCCGTGGACCCCATGCACATGTTTTATAGTGTTTTGTAATAACTACTGGGTACAACTTTCTGAAATTTAGTGACTTTGTCTCCTATACATTTTTACACATAGCAAAGAGATCGGTATTCATCTGCTTCCCACATGCAGAGTTATATTACATGCAAATCAGGCCCAACACTTGAAGGGAACAAGGGGTCCAACCGGACCCCTAACTTGTAACTCACAGTAGTAATTTCGCCAATGTGTTTGCTGCCTGATACCATATTGCGTATGTCAGAGTATTCCCTCTTTTAGCATCTGCATGTTACAAATACCAAAAATTAAATGATGAATTCCAAATATTGAATGGTTTTTGTATCAAGCGTGAATTGCCATTACCTCTTTATGACATAGTACACAAAGTAGCAATTTGGTGAGAATTATTAAATCTTTCCATATGCCACTAAAATGTTTTTTGATAATAATTTAGTTGATTTTCAGATGTCAAATATGAATGCAAATCAAATGATACCTGCTATGTGATTCTCACAACGTGAACCCACAAGGGTTAAAAAAATCTTGTGGACGCTCTAGAGGTCAAAGTTAATATCCGATTGACTTCAAGTTTATACACAGTGTTTAAGGTCATGAGACAAAGAAGCCTATTGATTTTCAGCGATTTCCGATAATTACTGCTAGAGTTATGGCCCTTGATCACTTTGAAAAATCTTGTGGACGCTCTAGAGGCTAAAGTTAATATCCGATTGACTTTAAATTTATGCACAGTGTTTAAGGTCATGAGACGAAGAAGCCTATTGATTTTCAGTGATTTCAAATAAATACTGCCAGTGTTATGGCCCTTGATCACTTTGAATAATCTTGTGGACGCTCTAGAGGCGTAAGTTAATATCCGATTGACTTTAAATTTATACACAGTGTTTGAGGTCATGAGATGAAGAATCATATTGATTTTCAACGATTTCGGATAATGGCCCTTGATCACTTTGAAAAATCTTGTGACGCTCTAGAGGCTAAAGTTATCATCCGATTGACTTCAGATTGGTACACATAGAATTTAAGGTCTTGACACGTACAAGTATATTGATTTTCAATGAATTCTTATGACTTGAACAGCTAAATCCATGATGTTAAAAGTTTTGTATACTAAACATTAGCATGGGACAGAACTTTATAAAAACCAAACAAATTCTAATGGTTTTCTGATAATTACTTAACGAGTTGTTACTCTTAATCAGATTTTAATGTATTATAAATGTTTCATTACCGAAAAAAGTAAAAATATGTGACAACTCTTGTTGACTGCCCGAACGATATAGCTGCTGTGGGCGTATGTTTCGTTGCCTGGCAACCTATCTTATTATTCATTTACATGTGTTTACGTAAATTGTCTGCCTTGAGTGCTGATCCTGTGGTTCAATGAATGCCCCACTGAAATTTCTCGAGCAGTTTATTTTATGTTCATACTTGATACTTAGCACAAAGTTTGCAGGAAACTTTATTTACAATACCGGCCGTTCCAAGTTCATAGTTTAACCATGTATGATATTTATAATATTTTTGTATCCACGAATTTACAGTGGCTAATTTTAATCCATTTGTTTGTCTTTTCGAGCTAGCAGACGACACCATTTTATCTTAGCACGCGCTCACGGTAGTCTTAAATAACCAGACGGACAAAACTTTGGTAACTGCGCTTAATTGCATACTGGATAATTTGGACTTGCGGGACTATTTTCTCATAGCAACCGGTAGTGATTTACCTGACAGTTTTTCTATATTGAACGCATTATACATGTCAGCCTGGAAAATCACAAGCAAAACTCACTTTTGATCGTGTCGCGGAATAGACAAAATAATTAACTAAAGTTTAAGTCTGGAAAAACAAGACAAGATGGGTTTTTTTACCGGCAGTATTGTTTTCTGCAATTTACCCATTTATTAATTAATACTTTTATCCAAATGAAGTATTTTCATCCAAAATATAATGAATCGCACTTCACAAGTTTGAAAGCAATTTTTGGCTAATGAATAAAATAATTCTATCGCTTTTACCGCGATTTGAATTGCTTTTTGCATTGTGATACCGCTTAAATTGAACCCTGCTCTAGAGGCTAAAGTTAGAGGATTGATAAACAGAGGTCTTAGACGAACAAGTATATTGATTTTCAATGAATTTTGATAACTTGAACAGCTAAATCAATGATATTAAATGTTTCGTATACTAAACATTATTACTTAATGAGTTGTTACTCTTGATCAGATTTTAGTGTATTATAGAGGCCACAATTTTGATCTGATTTTGATGAAACTTGAAACACATGTTTATAACTCAACTATCATGGTTCCTATCGATATTCACGCATATCGGATCATAACTTCTTGAATTGTGGCCCTTGATTGTACGGAAAATCACTTTTTATACGCCCACATTGAAATGTGGTCGTATATTGTCGTCGCCCCTGTCCGGCGCCCACAATTGCTTGTGGACACTCTAGAAGAGGCTAAAGTTAATATCTAATTGAGGGGGGTGGATGGCCGAATGGTTAGCATGCGCGGGCTGTATCATACAGTCTGTCATTGAGTCAACTGACAAGGAGTAGGGTCACCTGTCCAACCTTGTGGGTTTTCTCCGGGTCCTCTGGTTTCCTCCCACTGCTAAAGACCCCTACCGCAAGCGAATTATTGAAATAAAAAAAATTAAACCAAATATATGTTAGTCCCGAAATGACCTAGTTTGTGTCGAGTGGACGTTAAACCCCATCTCTCTCTCTCTCTCTCTCTCTCTCTCTCTCTCTCTCTCATATCTAATTGACTGAATTTATACAAAGTGTTTTAGGTCATGAGACAAAGAATCCTATTGATTTTCAGCAATTTCCAATAATTACTGCCAGAGTTATGGCTCTTGATCACTTTGAAAAATCTTGTGACGCGCTAGAGGCTAAATTTATCATCCGATTGACACTAGATTGATAAACAGAGTTTAAGGTCTTGAGACGAACAAGTATATTGATTTTCAATGAATTTTGATA